CCCCAAAACCCCAAAACCCCAAAACCCCAAAACCCCTAGTGAGAATGGATTTATTGAAAATAATATTTACTTAAAGATTGGATTGTCAGCTTTAAGATTCTTAGGTCCTCTCTTAAAAGCAGGTTTTATATGCGATTCCTTATTAGACACTATTTTAGGCTTGAACTCACTTTGATTGTTAATTGACTCATTGGATTTTAACTTTAGGACAATGTTTGTGTTCTTCTTTGGCTTATTCGACTTCTTTTGGTTATGTTCTAGAAATATTCACAAAGGCTTACCTGATTTATCTAGAGAACTTCTGTTCAGGCTGGGAAGTTTGATTGTTTCACTTTCTTTATGTAAGCCAGTATAATTTTCTATTGTTGGTATTAAGTAAGGGTTTTCGAGGAGTTTATTTTTCGAGTACTTGGCTATTCCAGCCCTATATCCGGGTTTCTATGTTTAAAGAGAAATTGTACATTTTTGATATATTTTAAAAGAGAACTTTTGTTGTTATTTTAGCTTCAACACTTTGCCAACATTGTCTATTATTATTGTTCTTATCCTCTTTCTTGCCTTTTCAGCATTTATATCTTCTTTTTGAGATTCTGTATTTTTGAGTTTAGGTAGGCTTTGTCTTTCATGCTTTCTCATGGTCTTATTTGCTTTAGACCGCTTGAACTTGGTGGTCGAAATACCATTTTTTATATAAAAATAGTCAGGAATACCGTATTGGGAATGCTTTATTCCATCTAAGACAAACCTTGATCTATATTAGATATCAAAGAGACCTTGGAAGTCAACCAACCTGGAGTTGCTCTTTGATCTCAATTTCTTATTACACTTCTTTTTAGATTTACTTTTCTCGGTTCTCTTTGTGTCTTGTTTTTCATGGGCAGGATCTCCATACACTTCTTTTGGAGACAATTTATGATCTTCATTTGTCTTTTGTTGCATTGAGTCTAAACCTTCGCTCGCAGGAATACTCTTAGTTGTAGCATTTTCCTGCAGAACATTTACTTGAGCTTTGTTAGTTATTAAGTCCTTTTGAACATCTAAGCTCGAAGTTAGTTTAGAACATTAGGTTGGGACAAATACCTTTTTGTTCATCTTTTTGGCTCGAACTTTCCATTGAATATTATTATTTTATTTTATGAGGGGTTTTGGGGTTTTGGGGTTTTGGGGTTTTGGGG